GGGGGGGTGGGGGGGGGGCGCTCGCGCGTGAAGGCTCGCGCAGTGGCCAGCCTGTGCAGGGCCAGGGGGCAAAAGGGGGGAAAGCAGGGCGGCGGGGGACACATACCCCAGTGTGCCGCGGGCCAAAACCTGGGCCACCAGGCGCTGGGGCAAATGGGCGAAGGTGCTCGGATCGGAGGGGTTGGCAGCGGCCAACAGGGCACCATCATCCGGCAGGATGGGCTCATACTCATCGTCATCCTGGTCGATGAGGCCGTCGGAGCTGCGGTCGCTTCGGGGGGACCGATCGTCCGAGGGGGACGCCTTGCCGGCACCCTGGCGAGCCTGGAAGGCGGCGGCGGCGGCGGCGGCGGCGGCAGCCGGGTCAAGGGACTCCAAGGCACGCCGGTCGGTCGGGTCGACGGCGGCCGCCCGGCGGGCGGCCTGGGCCCGGCGCGCAGCGGCCGCGCTGTCCATCGAGTCGGACGAGGCCACCGACGAGTCGGACGCCGAGGAGCCCAAGTCGGCCGCCTCATCCAAGTTCTCCGGGGTTAGGGCGGCCTGGCCGTGGAATTCCGCGCGCCCGGAGGGGGACTTGGCAGCGGCGGGGGCCGGCCCGCGGCCAGGGCCCCGCCCCGGGCCGCGCGACATGTCAATGCGGTTGGCCTCGATGGCTTGTTGGATTTCCAGCAGGGCCGGGTCCGACCAGACCTGTGGCCCGGGGCCGGGCGTGCATGCGTCCGGCGAGGCGCGGAGGAGGCGGCGGCGGCGGCGGCGAGGCACCGTGTCAGCTGAGGGCCGGCCATTGGCGGTGGACCACGAATTGCCCACCGGTCGGGGCGCGCCCCGATCGGCAGCAGGGGACCCCGGGGCGCGAAAAAGGGGCGAGCAGGCGAAGGGCAATCGGCAAGACAGTGGTCGGCAGGGTGCCGGGCGTACGGCGATGCTTGCCCGGCGGCGCGAGGGGGCCTGTGCCTTCAGGCGCTCGATGGCGTCGGTGCTGACGACCGGCGAGTCGTCGTCGCTGGACTCGTCCATGTCGGCGGTGGCCGGGCCCGGCGGGGCGCCACGCCAGGGGCGGATCACGTCGGCCGGGGGCCCGGCCGCGCGCAGGTCCGACTGGTGGCTGGCGGCCACGGCAGCCACATGCGAGGGCGATGCCCCGGCCGGCATGGTGTCGGGCATGTCATGGTGGTACATGGCCTCGGCCATGTGCCCGGGGCCGGACCCGGCCGCGCTGGGGGCCACATCGGGCGGCGACAGGCCGAGATAGCTGGACACCACGGGCGAGGTGCCCCGGCGGACCTGGCCGCCGGATTGGCGCCCGGCCACCGGCGACGGGTCCCGGCCACTGGACCCGGTGCTGGAGCTGGGGCTACTTGAGAAGGAGGTGGCCGAAAAGGTCGACGGCGAGTCGCCGCCATGGCCGCTGTCACTGGAGCTGGACCGGGCACCACTGCGGTGCGATGAGGCTGCCGCCATGGAGGACACCGAGTACCGCCGGTCCCGGGCCAGGGCGAAGTTCGGCACGCTGGACCGGCGGCTGGACAGGAGATCTATCGGGCCATGGCCAATGTGCAGGGGGCCGCGGCGGGGGCAGGGGCAGGGGCGAGGGACATCAGAGGGCGAATGTGAGCACCCGGGCAGGGGGACCCCCGGCCAAGGGTGGCAACATGTGCTGGCGTGGGGGGTGGGAGGGAAAAAAAAAAAAAAAAAAAGGCCCCCAGGGGGCAATGCGTGCATGCAGGTGCATGCGTAAGTCGGCCGGTGTGCTTGTCGCCAGGCCCGTGCGTGCCCACGCGGGCGGGTGTATCTTGGCGTACCGGTTTCGGGGATTCCCTGCCCGAGGATGGACGCCGCGATGGCCTCGACGTCGCCGGTCTGCAGGAGAGTGTTGATGCCGGAGCCGCGGCAGATGCTGGCCCGCCGGGCACGCAGGGCCCCCTGCGGCTGGACCAGGTCGGCCGAGCTGTCATCGGCCATCAGCATGGTTTGGTCGACTTCGGCGGCCCGGGTGCGCGCGGCCTGCGTGCTGCCCATCGATGGGGCATGCAGGACCGGCGGGCGCCCGAGGCCCGGGGTGGATGTCGGCGAGATGGGCCCCATGGGCGGATAGGGCAGGGCAGAGGCGGGTACCCGGCTGTCGATGGATGCACGACGGCGGGCAGCCCAAATCTGCTTGGCCGCGGGCAGCGCCCCGCCAGGGGGAAGCGACATGGTTGGCGTGCTTGGACGTGGGGAGGGAGGGCACGCTGTTTGGGTGTTGCCTAGGCGTTGATGCGTGGAAAGGGGGGGGGGAGGGGGGGAGGAGGGCTGGGCACGACGGCAAAAGAGCAGAGCTTGGACAAAGGGGCCGGGAGATTGATGGCTGGCAAGTTCGCAGTCGCTCCTTGCCGGCGCAGGGAACAGGGCGAAGAATCTCCCTGCATTCTTTGCCCCTCGGAAGGAATGAACCCAGATGCGCACGCATGCGCGCCCCATGCCGGGGCACACACAGGCGCACACCCGAGGACTCCCACCGGAAGGCGAGGCATCCCCAGGCCCCGGTCCTCCTCCTGCTCCTCCTCCGCCGCCGTCTCCTCGCCCCTCCCCCCGGGCAGGTGGGGAGCCCACCGATCGCCGTCGTCGTCGCCGACGCCGCCGTCGCCTCGAGGGGACTGTGCCTGTGAGTACCATGCGGCGGGACACCCCCTGGGCGGTCCTGGACGAGCCGGGGCCGGTCACAGTTCCCCCGGGGAACGGCAGCCATGGCACATCGCGTGTCCCCCCC